TCACTACCCGTGACAAGACAATGTCGTTCAAGATGTTGCATCACTATAATAATATCCAATGAGACGTGACATCACTACCCTTGACAAGACAATGTTAACAGAGGCGTTATGTCACTACTCTTGACAAGACAATGTTAACCGAGGCGTTATATCACTTGTCTCGGGTAAACATTTCGTTCTATCATCTTCAATGAGTGGTGATATTTATAATGACACAGTGTTTTCAAAAAAAAAAAACTAATATTATTGTTTTATTCTGTTCCATAAAACCGTCTAGGATACGAGTACAGATAACAACAAGGAAAATCAAAATTTATGGAAGGCAGTCCCTGGCCGTACCTAGCCGCACAAGTAACCATTACGTTAACATGATAAAATAATATCAACACTAAAAATTACACTTAAAATTTGAAAATATTACAAAATGTAGAAATTGAAAAATACTAGCCACTAGAATATTCCGTTTCCTTCTGTCATTAAAATGAGCACACAGTTAATGCATGAACCGTCATCAATTCATGTAAATTGTAATGTCATATGATTTGGTAAATGTCAAAGCTAATTTATAAACTATATATACTAGTAGTTTTAAGATAACTGTATTTGTGTAGATCATACATGTATGTTTCAAATAGTTTTATTAGATAAATGTTACCTGAATGTTTTTTTTAACTCCAGGGTTAGATGAACCGTTTATGTAAACGTTAAGGACACTGCCTGTAATTCGTTGGGCATAAGAACATTATTAAGAATCTTCTCCTTGCAAGTGGCCAAAGTAGATATTTAATTTCATTACATAAACAAAGGCCTCATTTATTTTAGGTATAAAGTCAATCTCAAACGGTATGAAGACGATTTAGAGGCAATTGCCCTTAAGATATTCAACAATATCTATTACGGAGCGAACTCTCAGCAAATGCTCTTTTACAGCATACGTATTGCGCTAACTATATGACAAACAAGAGTATGTTAAAGTGACATTATGCCCATTCAAGGGTAGATATAGAGTGAACAGGTAAAAGTCAAAATAAGTTAACATTTTCTCATAATTCCTTCCAATTTTATAATTTACTTCACATGAATGATAAATAACTCACTCGAAGATGTGTGGAATTATCCGTCGGAATATGTAACTTTTAATTTATAACAAGAGTGGGCAGTCTTTTTTATTTATTTAAGTAGATTTATTTTTACCCTAAACATTTTCAAAAATCATGTGTTGGTCAATCACCATTACAACGACCAGTTTATTGAAATATATAGTCAATTCAAGTCAATTTGACAATTACAAAATGAGTATACTTTCACTTTGATTAAATTTTGTTTGTTTGTTTGTTTCATTTTACGCCTTTTTCAACAGTATTTCAGTCATATAGGCGGGTAGTTTCCTAACCATCGTTCCTGGAGAGTTACACCAGTACTAGACTACCTTCCTCCGCGCTAAACTACCAAAGCATCTCCCGGGGATCGAACCCACGCCAGAGAGGTAACTGGATTAGAAGTCATCGACTCTAACCCCTCGACCACGGAGGCGGTCCTTTGATTAAATGAACCCTTAAAAGAACTTCGTTGAGGTGTTTTGGCATAACGGAGCTAGAGATAATGTTTCGAGATTAATATCACATTTCTATACAAAGAAATTGTGTGATTATTCGCTCAACCCTTTTACTGTAATTTTAAGAAATGACCAAAAAATTGGAAAGCAAAAACCAGGTGGAGAATAGCACAAACATAAGATATTATTTCTGATAAAAGTTCTTTATTATCCGTGTATATAACTTTCCGTTTTAAATGCACCAGTAGATCTATTTTAAATGTTTTGGGCTTTTATACCTCACTGTAATCCCTTTAACATCCACTTCTATTAATGTTTGTTAAATGGACTACACTGAGGTCCAAAAGCTTAAACATATATGCATGTAGTTTACTTTTAGAATGACCAGACGAAAACATTTAGGAATATACTGCCAATAAATGGATTTAGTTTTCAATTTATTTGAGAGTATATTTTTAGTGAAAATCGTGGCAACACTGTTGTTCCATTTTGAGTCAATTTTCACTATCAGAATAATTAACAAACTGCAAATAAAGTAAACAGTCATTTATCGTTTGCCAATTCCGTGAAACACTGAGACAGCAAATGGTATAATATCTTAAACACAAGTGTTGGTAAAGACCAAGTATCCTGAATTAATTTTCGGATTATTTGTTAACATTAACGCAATGTAGAATATAACGTTAATGTATCTTTTCATACACCAAGGCACATAGGAAATGAGCTGTCTGTTTGGTTTAACTACATTACATTGTGAAGAAATAACGATAAATCCACAGGCGCTTGTCACATAATCAAATATTTTACATAATCGGTCAATATATGTATATAAAAATATAAGGCCCCCAACGAAACAAAAACATCATGCGGAACAAACAAGAACACTGCTGCAATAAAAGACCAGATCACGGTTATCTCTTTATGGTCGCCATCTGAAAGGATCAATCAAAGCGTTAAAGCTTTTTATTTCATTAAAATTCTTCAAATAGCAAAGAAATGAGTAACAATTTCGCAAAATGCCAATATTTTCAATCCATGTCGTTTTCGACGTCCAATCTATTCATGTATACAAACACGATTTTTGGTCGATTTCTACGAAATAAATAGAAAACATCTAAAATTTCCTCATAAAATTCATAAACAAACTCTTTTTCTATCAATCTGCGAAGGCTAAATTAAACTACAGCCCTCTTTGTACGCAAATATTTAAAAAATGTTGGTTGTAGAAGCGGAGGTCAAGTAAAGTGCGCCATTTTGAATTTGAAGTGACAGGTAAATGAAGCAAAGAAATAGTATTATACGATTGGTCAATAGTATTCCGGTGATTATCTTAACAGATCAAATCCTTATATAATATTCAGAGCGGAACAATATATACATGCGCTAAACATAGCGATAAAATACTGTCACAAGCGAGATCCTTGTGTATTTTTTAATGAATTACGTACGAAAAGTGCATTTGATCAGTGAAGACTTCGCAGATCGATAGGAAAAGAGTTTGTTTATGGAACGTACGTGGAAATTCTAGCCGTTTTTTTTTTTTTTTCGTAAAAATCGATCAAAAATCGTGTTTGTAAACATGAATGGACTGGACGTCGAAAACAACATGAATTGAAAATAATGGCATTTTGCGAAACTTTTCCCAATTTCTTTGCTATTTGAGGGATTTTAATGAAATAGAAAGCTTTGGCACTTGGATTGATCCTTTCAGATGGCGACCGGAAAGAGATAACCGTTATCTGGTCTTTTATTGCAGCAGTGTTCTTGTTTGTTCCGCATGATGTTTTTGTTTCGTTGGGGGCCTTATATCTTTATATACATATATAGACCGATTATGTAATTTTTTTTATTATGTGACTAGCGCCTGTGGATAAATCTAAATCTTTGTGAATAATGTTAGTTGTCACATCAGCCTTACTTATCGTTTTTTCTTTGAGATATATTTTTTCGTACCAGTTAAAATACTAGTTTAAGCACCAACAGCAATGATTTGCTTTTATTGACAAAATGTGTGCATCTGTCTGACTTATTGCAAGAGATATGTTGAATTGTGGTAAAATTGGCGGACGTGTTTTCAATTTTGGATTTATTTTGAAATAGTTTTGGATTAAATTCAATACTATGGACTTCATTTTTAGCACATTTTTCGCAAAATCAACTTTGACATGCAAGAGGCCAATTTAAATCAAAACGAAATTTTGAACTGTAAAATCTCAAAGGAAGAACTAATAAGAATTATTGATATAACTAATGATTTAAAGGCAGCATTTCCTCAAGATTTCATCTATAATGAATACCTTTAAAGCACAAAAGAGTTGATGGTTCCCATTTTGTGCGATTTTTTAAATAAAATTTTTGATTCGGGAATACTACCTGATTGTTGCCTAATCGGCACTATCGCCCCGTAATATAAAAAGAAAGGTTCATCACGTGACTCCATGAATTATAGGCCAATAACTTTACTTAGTTGATTAGATAAATTTTTAATGGCGGTATTAAATGAAAGAATAACCAGCAATAACATTTTAAACGAGAACCAAGCCGGATTTAGGCAAAAGTATTCAATCACCGATCATGTGTTCATCTTAATATTTCTCATTGATAAACTTAAACGAAAAAGGAAAAAAACTGTTTTGCTCATTTATTGATTTTTCAGCCACTTTTGATAAAATATGGCGTATAGGCCTCTGGGGAAAATTACTTAAAACGAACATTAATGACAAGCTATTACAAATAATATAATTATAATATGTACCAGGACATTAAATCTTGTGATTCTATTAACAATACTATATTTCCATTTTGCAAGAGTTACTGTGTCGTCCGTCAAGGGGAAAATTTGTCCCCAATTTTATTTTTTATTTACCTTAATGACTTAAAAGAGCATTTGTCTCGCAATAATCAATGCATTAATATTGAAAACATTGAGGACAATGTGCTAACATACTTAAAATTATTTGTACCAATTATATGCCGACGACACTGTCATTATAAGCGAAAACGAACCTGTTTTTTCAAAATTTACTTAATGATTTTAATCAGTATTGTTTAGAATGGATATGACCGTATTTCTAAAATTAAGATTATTGTGTTTGGAACTAATAACCCAGAATACTTTAAATTTCATCAAGGAGGTTTAAATCTTGAAATAGTTAAAGACAGTAAGTATTTAGGTTTTTTTTCCCTTCATCGGGTAGTTTTCTAAATGCTAATCAGTCATATTGTTACTATTGTGACGTGGCTTCTAATAAAAGTGATTGTTGTTATATTTCCTTTTCCGCTTGTTTAAATGATTTATTTATATAGCAAATCAACTATGCAATACAGTACACTGCTAATTATGCAATGTTAACTAAATTAAAGCATAACATAATACAAAAATAAAAATGTACAAATGAAACGAAAATGAGCTGTCAAAATAAAACAAAATGTACTGTCAATCATGTTAAGAATTTGCAAATTTATTTTATTTAATAGAATTGAAATAAAGATGGGGTTATATGAAGATCTTCCAGGCTTCTTAGCTTTTTTGAAGACAGGAACGGAGAAAAGCATGAACAGTCATTTACCTAAATCTGAATTAAAGCAATATTATGGCACATTTACAGTTTTACAAACACATTATTAAGATTTATATTTATTGCTTCGTTTAACTTCGATATAGCAAGCAAATGTTAGGATGATATATGCATGTCACAAGTCAGTACTTTATCATACCCACAACTGTAAATTACACATAATTATATTAAATGTCATTGTGATTTCACTTCGTGCTTGAAACAAACAGTATTTTGAATATTTATATTAACATGCGTTCAAAATTGCATATATATTTGAAACAAAACACAATCAATTTATTGTGTTAAGATCTTTTTTGCAACATTCTAAATGTATCTGTGAATAGAATAACTTGTTTATCAGCCTTATGCATTTGTATCATTTGCTAAATTTCCCCCATCATAACAAAAGTTAACCAGAAAATAATATTTATTTTCGAAATTAAATAATCAGTTATGTTAATCTCATATATCAACCAATTGCTATTAAATTTTATTTGTTAAAAATACAACAACAATATTATACATATTTGTATATCAGTCGACATTGTATAAAAAATGAGAATAATCAGCAATAATTAATATATCCACAATACAAGTAACTTGTTATATTTAAGAAAAATAAGTGAAAACTCCGTTAGTTAGCCGGTTAACATAACTTTATTCTTAACACTGTGCACATCAGACAAAGCTTCTAAGCACTTTGAATTCTTGGAATCTATGAAGATGGTCACCCTCGGCCACGTCTGTGAAAATGAAAAATAAAATCAATCAATTTTGGGTTTTAATCGGGAACAAGTTTAAAGTTTTTTTCCCGTAAACATATTCGGTAAATAAATCATTGCCTTATCCGTGAAAGTTTTATATACATATACGGTAAATAAATCATTGTATTATCCGCGATAGTTTTATATACATATATGGTAAATAAATCATTTTATTATCCGCGATAGTTTTATATACATATACGGTAAATAAATCAGTGCCCTATTCGCGATAGTTTTATCTAACTACAGTGTAACTTCCGAAAACCGAACACCCATGGGACTTGTCAAAAAGTTCGGATTTCAGAGGTTTCCGGAATTCAGAGGTTTATGAAAATGCGGACAAGACTAAGCCACTTAATATCACTAAATGTCAAGGAAGAAGTGGCCTTTACTGTAATATCATATATAATAGTCTTTTAATCAAGATAAAGATGTGAATGAAAAGAATACATTTTTATCTTACTTGCAAATGCTTCGGAATTTCTATCAGTTTGTAGAAATGTTGTAAATTGCATAAACTTACATATCGTCCGATGCTAGTTAACTAATTATTACATCAAATGCTATAAAATCCCTAAAGACTTTTGATGCATACATTGTCCAATAAATTGTCATTTAATCCGCTAATAAACACTTCAAATTAACTGACCGCCGTAAATTACTTTGATTAACCGCATCACTTCAAACATACAATTTCACAGTTTGTGATTTTAACGAGTGTCAAATTACACGGTCACCGCTAATAAATAAACAATCGATAGGGAGATTAAATCTTCCTGCAGGGTTTACAATGTATTTCACACCTTTGGATATTTCCGGTTTTTGGAGGTAAAATTGCATTGACTTGACTCTAAATTTTCGAAAATATCGTCCGGAATTCAGAATTTAGAAGTTCCGGAATTCAGAAGTATTATATTAATAGAAAAATAGAAGGGAAAAAATCGGGACCGAAAAAATTGTTCGGTATTTAGAAGTTTCCGGATTTCAGAAGTTCCGGAATTCGGAAGTTACACTGTATAATGAAGCAAGATGGTCATCCAGAGATAATTTGTATACATTTAATAAAAATCAATATTTACAGTCTGGGACAATAAAACAGCAATGTTTTTTCACTCACTTGGACAATATAAGTAGGAAAGTATAGTATGTGTAAAAATCAATCTACCAGTATTTTAGAAAACGACATTCATTTATGTCATATACATGCATATATATTATTTTGAAACGTGTATATAATATATATACAATATTAATGAATAAAGAGCGGTCCATCGTGTAATTGACCTCTGTATGGCTTTTTTTACGTTTCATTAAATACCTTTCAAGCTAACGAAAAATGAAAACATAATATGAGCAAGACTTTCAACTTTTGTATTATTCTAACATTAGTTAAAAGAACAAGATAATATTAAAAGCAGATATTTTATGCTAAATGTTATGCAAAATATATACACACAATTTTCTTTAGCTTTCGCTTTCACTGTCACTGTCGTTTTCATTATCGTTCTCACTATCACTGTCGTTGTCACTACCGCTGCCACTGCCACTGTTGCTATCACTGTTGTTGTCACTGCTGCTGTCACGCTTGCGAGACCCCTTTCTCTGGTGTCAAAAAAATGATTAAAAAAAATAATACTTTTAATCCCGCTTATTTCATATCGAAGAAATTGTTGATTGTTTTGCACCTTAACGTCGTACGTGCGCATGTAAACATTGTGTGGATTATAAAAATAGATTAAATAAGATATTAAAAATAATACATTAAATAAGCAGGGGTGTACGTTGTCACCGACGCTCTGGTCCGTGTTTGCAAATGACCTCATTCACGAAATTAATAGTCTTGGGCTTGGAATTAACGTTGGTTCTATGATGGTATCTACACTGTTCTACGCGGATGACATAGCGCTGATCTCAGACTCAGAAATAAATTTGCATCCTATTGGCTTTTGTATAGTGCCACCAAATGCTGTTTCCAGTGTTATAACAGTAGTAAATTGGCAAGAGGCTAATTGCAACACATTCAATTCAATGTTTATTTGGCTTTAAACGTGAGTTGCCCTAACTGGATCTAAAACTCCAGACCTAACGCTTTCTAAAAGAGCGTGTAACCCCTCGACCGCGGGAAGTTATTAATAATGAAGAAAACCTCATTATTCTAAATTAAGCTATGTAATCCTCATTAATTTCGGATATTCTGGTCACGGTAAACCTTTTGTTAAACACTGATGTAAATAATCATGTATACATGTAAAGAATTACACAATATTAGAAATCTTCGACCAATCGGGAGCTATGTTTTTTTCCCCGGGAAGGCTTGAAGTCCCGGGAAGTCCCCGTTCATTGGACGCCGCCTTTCCTTGTTGATCTTGTTTATCATATTTAAAAAATTAATGCGCCCGTTATTTGACAATCTTTACGCAGTAATCTCCCCTTAATTTATCGGCTTTAATGTATTTCTAGAGGGAAGAAACTGCTTCGAGGAGCTCGGACGACTTTCGGTTTTTGCAAATAAGCATATAAGGGTCTGAAATTTCGCTACCATTATTTTTTTGGTCTGACCCAAACGAATAAAAAACCCTAAAAGTTGCAACGTCTCTCAAATCAAAAATTCCAAATAGCATATCTGAGATGAACGACGAAACAACATTTCACAGCTGCTACACACCACTTAACACCTGTTGTTTGTGGAAATAAAATGATGTTGTAAACCCCTTACCATAGCATGTCGTCTGTTTTTACGGTCTCTTTGTCCAGAAGACTTCATGTCATACCGATCCTGAAATATTCCATCACATCATATCTATTGTTAATTGTTAATCGTAATAAGAGCAAACCTAACACTAAATTTACAGATATAATATATATAAAATATGTCAACTTTTATGAAGGTGTATCGTTATCTATTGTAATTAAGTCAATAAATATTTATAAAGTATTTATAGTATTTCTATTTCAACCTTTCAAAATAATCTCCTCCTATAGAAATACAAAACTCAATCGTTAAATACGATTTTGCAAGTACTTCAACATAGTCCCTCATGAATCACCATTCAATAGTTGAAAAAATGGCCAAAAAATGCAGCAAAATTATTGTTTAATCTTGGTAGATTTGGAAGTTTCATTGGCACAAAGTTGTCGATCTCGCAACTTTAATATTTTTATGCAACCGCACCATTTGCGAAGCGGTGACATATAGCGATTCACCAGTGTGTGTGTGTGTGTGTGTGTTTGCATGTGTGCGTGTGTGCGTGCGTGATTGTGTGTGTGTGTGTGCGTGTGTTTGATCGTGTGTTCTATAGATTATATAGTGAAAAAATCTTCTTTTGAAAAACCACTAGTCGAATTTCAACCAAACAGGATTGATCCTTGGGTGAAGGGCTTCCAAAGTTGTTCAAAGAATTTCATTCCATGCAGAAATCTGGTTTTATAATAAGCAACTATAAGGATAATTTTAAAAAAATCATCTTGTAAAGACCCAAAAGGCCTTGAGCTTAGATATGTTGCATTGTCTGGTAGACCTCTGGTCAAAATCGGCCCCGCCCGGTGGTCATTGATTTTCACTTTATGTACAAATAGTAAAAACTTAAAATACCTTCTTGTCTGCAGGTACAAGGCTTAGAGGTATGATATTTGGTATGTGTTATTGCCTATAGGTATTCTACCAAAGTTGTTCAAATTTTGCCTATAGTGACAAAATCAACCCCGCCTGGGGCTCATATGTCATATAAGGTTTTCCTTGTATGTATATAGTAAAGACTTCTTCTAGCAATTGACAAATGCTAGAGGTTAGATATTTTGCATGAAACATTGTGTAGTGCACCTCTACGAAGATTGTTCAAATTATAGCCCTGGGGTCAAAATTGGCCCGTCCCGGGGGTCATTGATTTTCAATATGTACATATAGTAAACAAGAAAATTTATTGTCTGAAGGTTCAAGGCTTAGAGCTTTAATATTTGTTACATGATATCATCTATAGTAAATTGTTTTAATTATGCCCTTTACTTTAAAATTGCCCAATTGAATTGACAAAGGCTAGAGTAGAGGTTAAATATTTGGCATGAGAAGTGAACCTCTACCAAGATTGTTCAAATTATAGCCCAGGGGTTAATATTGGCTCCGCCCGGGCGTCATTGATTTTCATTATGTACATATAGTAAAAAATGAATAAAAAGAATTTGACTGAAGGTACTTGGCATAGAGCTTTGATGTTTAGACTTGATGTATTCCTACTCTGAGCTTTTATTTGAATAAAAATAGATTTAACCACTAATCTGATAATAAGAATTAGATAGGTCAGGGATCTATGCATTATGACAATCTTCAAATGTATAGAAACCAAATAAATATGTTCCTACACTACTATTTAAAGTTGTATTAATGCTGTGGCATAGCTTTTTTCACAAATGCAATCTTGTTTAATATTTGTTTATCCTGAATGAATATCGACAGCTCAATATCTATTGCACGTAAAGATATGAAAATATGTCTTGTTTTAAAAAAGTTGACCATATCGGGAAATATGCTGCGGAGAGTTATATACCTTATATTTTTGGAATATAATAAACCTGTTCTGGATAGTAATTGTGTTTTCGATGATCAAGGGGAGATTAATTTATGGTAATTTAACCATTTTTTGCAAGACAGCTTTGCCGAACGCCTGTGTTCGTGTCTATTGATTTATATTTACTATAAACCAATGATTACTTTCAGTATAGATTTGTTTTGCAATATGGAGTTCAATATGTAACACGATGCATGTGTTTATATCTCACAATATTTACACTGTGTCCTTGTTCTGTCGGTGGTAAATAGTTTCCGGAAATGCTGATGTCATACCGATGAAAAATTGAAAAAATGCATTATCTGCAAGTTGCTTATTTTCAGTGTAGACCTGAGGAGACTTTCGATAAATATTACCTAATTTTTATATATAGATTTTGCATGACGCACAATGACAATATATCTTTACTGCAGATTTACAGGAAGGAACATCACAAATTTTAAATAATTAAATGACTACTTTTGATGTAAACCTATTTTGCTACATGTAATACATTATGTGTACATACACTGCGTTCTCCGTAGGTTAAACGACCAGGATTTCCAGAATTTCCGGATCCACCACAGCCCTGAAATATCCCATCATTATATTCAATACTTATAATTTAATACTTATTATTTAATACTTACGAACAAAATATGACAAAACAAGCTATCCAGTAGTCTACTCTAATTTTATATGTAATAGAAAGAGCACCGAAACACGAGGTTATCTGATTTGTACGAAGGGGCGTAGCCCCCGAGTATTAATCAGATTTCCGAGTGTTTTGGTGTTCTTTCTCTTTTGTATCATAGTCAAACATAAAAACACGTTCCCTGTTGTCACAATATGAAACCCCGGCTAAAATGAACCAATGAACGAACATCTGAATATAATATTTCTGTCGCTTTCCCTTTCTCTGCCGTCATAATATGAAAAATGAACCAATCAATAGGCATGCTCTGGAGTGCGGGTAACTAATACCCGCACTCCAGTTAACGCACTGTGCATGTATATGTATACGATTTAACCCTGACACATTTTCAACAGAAAGGTCTCCAAACTATGATACAATTACATATTGTATCAAAGTTTGGGGACTTTCTGTTGAAAATGTGACAGAGTTAAATCTTATAAATATACATGCACAGTGCGTTAACTGGAGTGCAGGTATTAGTTACCCGCACTCCAGAGCATGCCCATTGATTGGTTCATTTTGTCCGGGGTTTACATATTGTGACGACAGAGAAAGGGATAGCGATGGAAATTTCATATTCAGACGCTCGTTCATTGGCTACTTTTTGTGGGGTTCATTTTCTGGTACATATATCAGGGAACGTGTTTTTACTTTTGATTATGATACAAAAGAAAAAGAACATCAAAACAATCGGCAATCTGATTTATACTCGGCTGCAACGCCCCCTAGTGCAAATCAGATAGCCTCATGTTCCGCTGCTCTTTCTATTACTTAGCATGACAAACACTTTAAGATTATGTCAGCACAAATGAATGTTATTTTTATTGTCATAACTTTATCAAACTTTATGTATATCAAATATTGATTATACATATGTTTGTTACTTCATATAAAACAATATGTGTACATACGCTACATTCTCTGTAGGTTAAACGGCCAGGATGTCCATTATTGCAAGAATAGCTCTGAAACATCGACACTGTATTTACTGAAGCCTGCTTATAATCAGTAAACGACAAAACAAAAGTTAACTAGTAAAACATAACAATGTGTTATAAGAGTTTTACATGGCATAACCTCAAATTAAGTTTACACAAAATAATACCAAGATCATAAATTTCGTAACAATTAAAGTTTAAGCCCTTTGAAAAATGACACACAGGTCAATTTTTAACGGATTATTGTTCAATTTGCAACGTTGAAAACTTACACCTACATGTTAAATTATGACCCATCACAAGCTCAAATTTGGCCCCTGTTGAAAACAGATAAACTATTCACAGGCAATATTTCGACTTTGAAATGTAAACCCTATGATTTTGCACAATAAGTCTATGCCATGCAGATATAAATATTTCTATTGTCTTTTCAGATTATGAATGATCAGCATTCTGTTAACAATTCTAATTATTCTAATCATTTGTAATGCAACACAGACATTTTATGCTGCTTACGAAAATAGTTAACTATTATTTACCTTGTAAGCCTTTTCATTTAAACATATCTTATTGCCAAATTAGAAACATATACATACATGTAAAGACAGTAAAAATACAATGGTATAACATAAAAAAGGTTGACCCATAAGTGTTCTCACAATTATCAACGGGTCTTCCCTTTTAGCTTAATTGAGCACAAGGTTCCTATTGTTAAACTATTATGACCTCCCTCTGTCCGGCTTCCATCTTCGTCCGTCATGCGTCTGAAAAACATCTTCCCTAAAATCTATCACTGCATGTTTTTACCAAACTACACGGAAATGAACTTTTTTGGGTACCCTATCAAAACTGTTCAAATGGTTCAGGTCAGTGGCATAAATTGGACACAGGGCCCAAAATGAGGTTTTAGAAATGTAAAATAAAAATATTCTTGTCTGAAAGTACAAGACCAAGAGCTCCAAAATATATGGAGTTTTTAGCTGGTGAATAGGATGTGATATGTACTAAAAATGATATTGACCTAGGGGACAGCATATACACCAGCTAAAAAGTATATATCTGTTGTATTTTATAATTTATAAATCGCTTTTATTTTGGAAATCAAATCTGCCATTTAATACGACTGAAATAGTCATTTTTCAGCTTGTCTGCCTTTTGTCCAAAATTTGGCCTTGTATTTTAATGAGCCCATTAGCAATCTAAATTTGAAATATGCTTAAAATGTCAAGACGATAACTAAAAAACGCTTTTATTTGCCAGTCGCCAAACGTTTATTCAGAATAATTACAACAAACTTGGCGTGACGTAACTTATAGCATCGCGTCTTTAGTGGGATTTCCAGAAAATATTTTTTTTTGAGAACAAACGGTGATTTTACTCTGAAAATCTATTTTTAGAAGAAAAAGAAACAGTGAATTTACCCTGTTATTGACCTGTTATTTTACATAAAAGTAACTTCTTCACCAATCAGAAAAAGGCATTTCAAAGCTATTTATAAATCATATACTAATATCAATTATATGTCTTAGGTCAACACTGGTCCCGCCACGGTTTCATAGGTTTTCCTTTTAAGTTTGTATAATGATCTAGAAAATACGGAAGAGCATTAGTGCCAGGTGTATGTTGTTTAATAACTCGAAATTTCGAGTTACTAACTCAAAATTTCGACTTACTAACTTAAAATTTCGACTTATTAACTCGAAATTTCGACTTACTAACTCGAAATTTCGACTTTCTTATCTCGAAATTTCGAGTTAGTAACTCGAAATTTCGACTTACTAACTCGAAATTTCGACTTACATTGCACGACTTTCATTGGTTGCCGGTGAAAGCAAGGATTGAATTCAAGATACTTTCTTTCGTGTGTAGCTGTTGCACATTGACAGAGCACCTTTAACATTTATTTAACAGAACAATTTTATAGGGTCAAATTGTCCACACATACGGAACATATCCTTCGCTTTTTTGTGGAGGGGGGTTGTAAAATCACACTTTCCACATTTTTATGTTAACCGGGTGTTTCTTTTTCTTAAGCACATATACAACCATCATGTGGAGAAACAACAAGTCCAAAACCCACCCTATTGTAAACTGTGCAATATCATGTGTTAGATAAGTTTTAATTGGCGTGTATACGCCAGTTAGTCTGTCACGTTTCTTTATACTAATAATGTTAACATTATTCATTATTTACTAATACTTTGATATTGTGTTGATAAAAGTTGATAAAAGTGATACTTGTTGTTATATATATGTTGGGAATAATATAAAAGCATCCGATTTTACAAGAAATATAGTCAGTCCAACAATTTTGACAAAGGCCACAGCACGCCCTATTTTGGCCACACCGCGATACTTTCCTCAGATGTCCCACACGTGAAGTATAGGATCGTTTTTTTTACAGGGATGAGAAGACTATGATTAGTGAAAAGATATGTTCGAACAGATGGGATACAATACAACGTGTGAAGAACGCCTGAACGTACAAATTAAAGGAAGCCTTGTTTTTTTAGGTCGGGTGTGTACATGCCATTACTAAGTTTAAGTTAAATTTCAATAGTTTTTGTCCAGACACCCGTTTCTCCATCTCCATCGTTCAAAGGCACTGCCTACTATATCTTATACCATCTAACTAATAACTTTGGCCGTTCTTGTAATGTTAATAAGTCGAAATTTCGAGTTACTCAGTCGAAATTTCGAGATAAGTAACTCGATATTTCGAGTTACTAAGTCGAAATTTCGAGATAAATTACCCGAAATTTCGACTTAGTAACTCGAAATTTCGAGTTAGTAACTCGAAATTTCGAGAAAAGTATCTCGAAATTTCGAGTTAGTAACTCGAAATTTCGAGTTAATAAAAAACATACACCTGGCATAAATGCTCTTCCGTAAGAAAATGATTCACATTTTTTTTCTTAGAAATTTCAACTACTAGAGTAATAAACATCATTTGAAAGATGTCTATCAAAATTGGTCAAATAATGACGCTGGAGTTAAGCTCAGCATCGTCCGGGGTCACATGCTTTCCTGATATGTGAATGTATATAGCAAAAGCTTCAAAACAATTTTCTTTGAAAGAGCTAGAGCTTCTATATTTGACATGAAACATTGGCGAATAAATGTCTACCAAGATTGTTCAAATTAAAGTCCTGGGGTCAAAATTTGGCCTGTCACGGGTCATGGAATTTTCCTGATCTGTAAGTAAAAGCTTCGAAGGAATTATTTTCTGAAAGCTTAACTGTAAGAGCTTAGATATTTGGCATGAAACATCATCTAAAGGATCTCTAATTAGATTGTTTAAATTATGGCACTGGTGGCGCGTCAAAATTGGCCCTACCCTGCGAGTCACGGGGTTTTCCCTTTGATATATGAATATAGAAAATCCTTCAACCTCCGTCATTCTTATTGACTTGGATCTGAATTTGGAATTAAAACTTCATTTTATTATTCTGATAAAGTTTAAACCGCAAAATGAAATGTCAAATGTATTAAGGTTCAATCAATAAAACTAGACATTGAACAAAAAGAGTTAATGTTTATCGGTCACAGTGACAATACCAAAACTGTTATTTTTTCCCCTATTATTGGGAGTTATTTGCAATATCTTAATAAAAGCATTAAAACTAACATCTATTTCCATTGTTTTCTTTTAAGTTATTTCAATAGCTAATAATTATTAAGCTCGGAAGTTGCTCCAAAAGCGTTGTAAGTGTTATTAAATAATTTACCAGATCTATCTTTTCAGTCAGCTATTTTTAGGTATGATCCCATTTTGATCAAAATTTAACGACTCATCAGGTCTCATCGTCTTTCGATCAAATTTAAATGATGAAATGTTGACAGGGTCATTGTTCGACGTTAAAAGTGGCCAAAGGTAAATTTTCAACGCATGCGTTATTGCTTTACGGGCTCACAATTTGATGTTACACCATCGTTCATATGTCTATACAGTATTTCGTTTACATTCAATATAGAAACTTTACTACTGTTGGAATGGATATATCATGCCATATGTTGTGTAGTATGAATACATACACTGTTTCCTTGAGGTGTGGAGATGCCAAGATAGTTTCTAATGTTTCCAAAAGGATTAACGAGGGATGTTCGAAATGTATTGCTTATTTCTATCTGGAGACTTTAAATTTCAAGTTAGCTCAAAAGTGTTCATTTCATGCTCTCGAAGTACTCCCCTTGACTAGAAATGCAACGTTTCAGCCGATGTATCCACTTATTGAAGGCGTCACGGTACGCTGATATGGGTACAGTAATAAGGTACTGATGAACGGCAGATCCAAGTGCATGTCGGGACTTGTATTTCCACCAAGCAAGGAAGGATTTCAATTTCGGAAACAAAAAGATATCACATGGGGCAAGGTCTGGAGAATACGAGGGGTGAGGCAAATCAGTTAATTTTTCAAAAACGCCGAAACTTTTACGGAGGTATGAGCGGGGGCATTGTCATGTAGAAGGTGGATATGCTTAAAACCAGTGACAGGGCGTCGTTTTTTATACTACATTTTTCAGTTTTTTAAGTACTACGTCTTTGTAGTACTCCCCAGTGATACTTTTGCCCTTTTTCACCAGCACTTTTATTGCAACTCCTTCACCAGAGAAGAAAATTGCATACAAAACCTTCTTTGCACTCAAAGACCGTTTGGCAATTATTTGGGCGTTTAGTGGCTAAGATTTTGTTGCTAACTTTTCATACTGGCTCAAAATAATGGACCGTGGTTTCATCACCTGTGACGACATTGGCAAACTGTTTTTGTCATATTTTGGAAACATTTGAAACAGTTTTTTTGCCACCTTAACCTGTTGCATCTTTTGCTCATCGGTCAACAGATGTGGCACTCATCAAGCAGAAATCTTTCTGACTTTCAAATGCTTCTTCAAAATAAAGTGCACCGTTGATAGTGATTACCTACCTTTCGTGCAATATTACGAACTGTAAATCTGACATCTCCTTCAATGATATATTTTATTTTTGAAACGATTTCGTTACGAGATGCAGATTTTGGCCTACCTGATTTTGGTGCATTTTTGATGCATTCTACACCAGACATAAATTTCTTTTTTACATCGCCTAAATGTGTCATAAGACACACAAGAAGGCCTATAAGCAGTTGAGAGTTCAGGCATCAACTGCTTCTAAGAGCAACCAAGTTTTAAGCGAGCTTTGATGTAAGCCCGTATTTCATCTTTTTTGTCGACGCTTCAACCAACCATTTGTGCGACAGACGCGCCCTCAGGCGCGTTTAGAGCTATGTCATCTACACATCTACAGGATTTCGGCGGCTAC